TACAGCTTCGTGACTGGTTTAATTGCATTTGCTGCATTTTACATCAGGTCTTCTCTAACACCGAAAAGGAGGGTGGCCTTTTTTGCCACAATGATGACATGGTGAGTGATTTCCACTAGCATTTCTACCTTTTCGTTTACTTTATTAGCACCTGCTTCACCACCAGTATTTGTCTTCTTATTATTCTTCTTTTTATTCTTCATATTATTTTAATACTTCATAGGCAAAGCTCCCTCAACTGCTCCTTCCTGCCTCATGACCCTTCTCTGTTCTTGTGCTTATAAGCATTTAAGAATTATGCAAGAGAGATTTTTGATAAATTTTTTGTCTTCTAAGGTTGAAATTATAGCCTCAAATTTTTCAGACACCGTTACTAGTAGTTTTTCAACGATCCTCGAGTTGAGTAGACCAAAATCGAACAATATCACTTTATTGCTAATGCTTAGAAGCTTGTCAAAATACTCGTTGATTGTTTCTAACTCCTTCATCTTCTGTAGTTGAAAATCTCATATCAAATTCAACACTTGCATCCATTTGATTCTCTCATCACCTTCATACTCTGATTTGAGATAATCTCAAATTGCTTTTGTTGATTTGAGCAACATGACTCAGGTAAAAATGGTTGATGATACTGCTGCAAATAGACAAGGCTTTGCCTTTGACTTTTTTGTCTTTTTTTCTTTGTGATTTTTAATATGCGTCATTGTGGGATTATTTGGTAGTAGAGAAATCTCGTAGTCATCTTCTACTACTTCCCAAAGGTCCAATGCATCTAGATAGACATTCATCTTCACAGCCCAGATCTGATAATTTTCACCATAAAAAATAGGAGTGATCGACGAGAAGTTGGATTATGCATCCATGACAGCTACTTGAAATCAATTTAGAACTCTTACAGGTCTGATACCAATTGTTGTTAGAGTGAAGTTGCAACAGAAAAACAAAGACAATTTTATGGAGAAATTTAGTTTTTATTGAATTCAAAACATACATTATATAGATTTGAAATTAACTAACCACTAAATTCATGATCCTAAAAATAGATCGTGATCACAAGATAAATCAGAAAATAGGAAGCATTGCTTTGAAATTTTCAAATTTAAACATAAGCAGAATTGTTAATGTGGCAAACATTCTAAACACCACTTCTAACAATATCGTCTAATCCTTAAACTAGAATGTAGCAGTACATGATGTGTTTAAGTTGACTGTTCTACAAGCCCAAATGACACTGTTTATTGCTTATAGCCCGTTTCTATCTTAACGTCTCTTAAACTTCATGCATGCATACTAATAAAAGAAGTCACACAAAATGAGCAATGATGTGGAGCTAGCTTGGTGAATCGTAAATACATTACAAAAGTACTTAAATATAATTAAACATGCTCTTGTTATTATCATCATCTTCTGAATATAGACAAGACGAGTCATGTTTGAAAAGTTTTTCTTTGAAGTGATAGTAATAGCATTAAGTGGAAGGACGAGCTGGATGTTGATCCAGATTCAGGCGAATAATGTGAGGATAGTGAAGAGAACCACAGTAAAGATGACTTCCTATCTTGATTCCACTCGAGATAAGCTTTAATCCAACATCGCCGTAATAAGCTATAGGTTTCCCTTCTACATCAACGGCAAAAACACCACTGTTTGTCTCCATTTGAGGTCGCAATTTCATCTTCTCCAACATTGCTACGACTTTTCTCACAAAAGGGTACTTGGTTGCTATGTTCCAAGGAGTTGTTACTGCCTGCATGCACTCATTCCATATGATATATATATATATATATAATATACTTTAAGATCATATAACAAAAAGTTGATAATTACCGTGGGCAATGCAATCCAATACAGGCCTTCTCCATCGTAACGAATGTTATCAGGCAAGCCAGGCAAATTATCAACAAATTTTTCTAAGCGTCCCTTCTTTTCTCCTTCTATGTAATATCTTCTACACCTTCTCCTGAACAAAAAATTGTTTAATTTATGATTAGATTTCCCACGTTAAAAATTAAATAGAGAAATAAGATAAAACTTATATCAATAATAAGGAATTTTGATTACGATGAGGAAGACAGTAACATACATGGGGGTCTCACAAAAGATGACATGAGTCTGGTCTGGAGAGACAGCAACGCCATTAGCAAAGTAGAGGTCAGAGACCAGAACTGTGGTGCGTTTGGTGGCTGGGTCAAAGCTCATAAACCGACCGTATGGCCTGCCTTCTAGAATATCCAACATATAATCTTTAAAGTTGTATTTGTAAGAAGCATCTGTGAAGTAAATTACACCGTTATCTGCTATATCTAGATGGTCAGTTAACTTAAATTTGACGCCGTCAGCTTCGTCCGTTAGCAGCTCCACTTCCCCGTCTCTGCTTATGTTCAGCAACCCCTAATCATATTTAAAACCAAATATAAACATAAATTAATTAATTTAATCTGAGAAGCATCGAGCTAATAAAGCTTGTAAGAATTTTATTTTAAATAATATATTTATAATCAATTTATGCCAGCTTCTTTAGTTGTATGTTTATTTAATGCTATCATTTCTTAAAATATGTACTACTTTTTCAATGCAATTTATGGGAAGATAATTGTCAAGTTGTTTCTGGATAAATACCCTGTAAGCATCGGCGACAATGACTTCGTCGTTGTGTCCAACAGCCACCCCGAGCGGCCTACCGCCGGTGTTGACCCACCTCTCCACCACCGAATCGCCAACCGAGTCATTCACCGTAACTCGCTTCACCCATCCGTCATAACACCCAGTGAAAATGACTCGCGATTTGCTGTCATAGGCGATGTCTTCTGGTCCCGGCAACTGCCCTGCGCCTACCATTTCCGCTCCCAGTAGCATCCGATTATTACACAAGGGAGATGTCAACGGGGGATGAGTCAACTCGTGGGTCAGCGGAATAGGCGCTGCGTCGAATTCGTCGAGTTGGTACATCACTATAGCGGCAATCGCAGGACCTATCAGCGAAAAGAGTAAAGCGAAGGGGAACAAGCTTTTCCTCCTTTTAAGAGGAGAGCTATCGTTCTTGCTTTTGCTCGGAGCTGAGTCAAAGTTTGAGTCGGACATCGTTGCCGCAGAGAGTGACTCGGTGGTGTAAACGACCGGTGGTGGAATGGCTCTTGTGTTGCTGAATATATATGATATATCCCAATAAAAAGTGGGCCGAGTCAAGGATTTGATCTTGCAGGTTTCTCCACTAATGCAAGAGACAAAATTAAAAAAAGGAAATAGAAAAAAACATATGTGATAAGGTAAGAAGATAAAGACAAAACGGTCTAGAAAATTTCGACCTCAATTAAAGAGCCACTGGGAAAAAACATTAACATTATCTTTTTCTCAGAAAAGGAAAAGACTTTTCTGGTTCGACTCTCCGTCCTAGTCTATATCTTCTTTCTTCAAAACCCAGAAGTTAAAAATGACCGGAGTTGCTCCCATTTGAAGAAACTACTGTATGAACTTTTTTGGGCAACAAAAGAAAGTGTAAAGTATGGAAGGGAAGTGAAGTCACCACTAAGGTCTGCTCAAGTGCAAGGAATCTACAGTTCAAGTTCTTCAAGTGAAAGATACTTGTAGTGATATAGACATAATCAAACTAATATCTAAAATCATAAGCATGTCAAATACAAATCTCAAGGGCTAAAATAAGTTGAAAAGCTTAAAGAAAAGATAAAGAGAGTAGAAAAATAAGAACTTTTGATGCTAGCCGCTAAATATTCTTATCTCCTCCAATCTCCAGCTGCCTTCTATGATTCTTTTCTCCTTTTCCTTTATATGCCCTCCATCTCGGTTTCGTGCCGAGAAAATATTCTCTTCAGCAACCTATCAGATTATATGAGGAGTTTGAAGCTGAATTTGATGAAAAAGAGATGAATAACGGGAAGGATTTGGTGAAATTTGCAGAAAAATAAGAAGAAGACTACTTCAGGAAGCTACGAGAGAGAAAAAAGAGAGCTTGAATTTGTAAAATTGTGGAAAATGATGAATCTATTCATTAACGAAAGTAAAAGGGGTATTTATACAGGAAAAATTAACTTATATCCAATTATATAATTGACTATATATATATATATAGTTAATTACAATTAACGCCAACTAATTCGTTGTAATACAACCTAAGATAATCTTGCTCCAGCGCCTCTATGCGAGTACAATGCATATTTTTCTCCTCCTTCACTGCCCATTAGCTCTTTAAAGGTTCAAATGGAATATTTTACCCAAAAGAAACAGAAAGAGTAAAAAATAAATGCTCAAATGCGAAAACTAGCAAAATTCTCAATAGAAACAGGTACCAGACATTGCTGGAAATAATCAACTCTTCCCACCTACATGTATGTATTACACAATGATATACGTATACGAAGAATAGTATGTATATATTCACGTACATATGTACGTGCGCAGAGCTTCATTGATCAGTGAGAACAACTGATTTTCCGCGAACAAAATGGAAATTGCAGGTTTCATGTGTTTAGTTTTGGGATGTGATGCAAGGTGGATTGAACTTAGGGAGAAAGAAGAAAACATTGACATGTTGAGGGTTGTTTATTTTCTATTTAGAGTCTTAGCTTAATTAAATGGAAGAAAATTGACATGTACCCATCATTTGCTTATACTTAGAATGTAATTCATCTTTCAAGTTGTCATAATTTTAAAGAAAAAGATCATCTTTATTAATACTAATTATATCTCTAGTTAAATTTTCTATTGCTATATATAGAGTAACAAATTGGCAACCGCAATATTTTCATTACCAATCTTAAATTATATATATATATATATATCTGTGTGTGTGTGTATGAGACTGCCAGGTAAAATGGGTGGCAAATGAATCCGGTAACTTGATAACAGAAGATCTCTCTGATGATTAAATACTTATCTTTTTACATAAAATCAATTAATGTTTACCATGGACGTCTTCTTCTTATCCCAGTGTTCGATACGAGTACAACATGATAAAACACCATATATATATATATATATTAACCGATCATCACTAATTAATCAATTCAGATCTCCACCTTTTTTCATTACTTAAAACTTTATTTCTTCAATCTTCTTCTCACTTTTTTCTCCCACAATTTATATATAATATTTTAATGGCATCAAACGGGAATGGCAGATCTCTTCCTAGATTTGGTGAGTGGGATGTGAACGATCCGGCTTCGGCTGAAGGCTTCACCGTGATATTCAGCAAGGCCAGAGATGATAAAAGGACTGGCGGGGTTGCCGCTAACTCAGTATCTCAGAGGAAACAAGATGAGAAACCCTTGAAAAAGTGGCTTTGTTTTACTATTGCATCATGAGACCTAAGGATTTATATGCATTTCACTAAATCCATTACGTTATTAATGTCTCTCAAGTATATTGATAACATTATATCAGATTTCTGGATTCGAAGCATGTGTTTAGTTTATTTTGATTCTATATACAACTTTCGTTTTTACCATTAAGTTAAAATTTGTGTTCTTCGATAATAAAAACAAGAATAAAAGGAGAATCAAGATGTAATATAAAATAGAACATATATGTGTAACTATTGGGTTAAATCTGGTTGAAAACTACCGCATGCTTGCAATTGCATGAGTGTACAACGTTCAATCATTATGGAAATCAATATAACAAGGCCAAAATGCCATATGCATTTGTACGGTCACATGGTGCTCGTATAACCCATTTTTCAAGCAACTGCAGATGTGCAATGAATCTAATCTATCGGATCTCTAACCCATTACTTATTTGATTTTTTTTCTATTACAATATAGTAAAATTCAATACAAAAGATTAGTTCCATACTAAAAAAATTTCCTTCGGAATTTATAACCATGTTCTTGTCATAAAACAGACTTATTTTATTATAACTCATCACAAAAGAAATGATTTGTTAAAAGACTCAGTTTCTTTGTCTAAATAGTTTGAACAGCACTGCAGAGAAACCAGAAGACAAGGAGAATAAAGCTTTGTTCTGGGTATGGCAAGTAATTTATAAATACGTTTAATTTTTCCATTGTCATAGCCCTGTCGATATTTGGCGAGCATTCTGATTTCTGAATAACAAACAAAGTTAAACAAGAAAAAAAAAAGAAAGAAAAGAACACTCTTATATTCTCTGCTTACTCTGCCGCTTTGTCGCCCAAGAAATAAACTTTAACTGTTCCAACTATCAGACTATGTGCATTGCATGGCTTTTTGCAGGCAATTTTAGATAAAGTTGTAAGCTGTTTTTGGAGCAAATATGGGTCATTTTCTCTGTGTAATTCTTCATGTAAGCCTAGATTCATAGCATTCTCACCAATTTTTTTACGTCTACAGTATCTTATCTTTAGCAAAGGCTGGTCGAAATTGGGGCTCTTTGAAGAGAGACATAAGCTACAAACCATTAATATTAAATTCTTAATTAATATATTCGTTTTTTATAAGAGATTATATATTTGAGTTGAACTGTATTCTTGTGTGTTCTTATCTATAAGCTATTTTTTATTGCGTTATAATTATTGATGATTATGTATTATAAGTTTATGATTTTTTTTTCATTGAGAAATTACATGATGCAATTTGCTTACTAATTGATAAATTTTTGGGCAATCCCTAATAAGACTAACTTCCCTTTCATTGCTGTTGATAATTAATTATAGAATAAAAGGGAATAATGGTTGAGGATAATGGATTTGATGATTGGGGGAGGCAAGGAGGCAATAATAAGGCGGTGTTATATGCTGTTTACCCATTCAGAACAGTATTTAAAACCATAAGATAAGATTAAAGAAATAGAAAGAGGAGACCCACATGCTGCACGACAAGGCTAATTGGATTCCCTCTTTGACTCATAAATAGATGAAGCCATTTCCATTCAAACCATCAGCGATGCAAAATTGTTTCACCAGAAAAACATGGCGGCAACATCATCTTCTTCATTCACTCAACTGCACCAACCTCTGAGGTCCATTAGCTTGCCCTCCAGAATACACCCAACTTGCCTTAAATTTGAAGCAGCATTAACCCACCTCAAACAAATCTGTCCAAGCTGTCCCAGAAGATCAGTTGTTTCTGGGGCTGACAAACTTGAAATTAGGCTAATTGGTCTGGCGGAGTTGTACAATATTGTCCAGGAAATCTTTCACTCTCCCCACAAAAAACTTGCACTCTTACGTTACCAAAATGGGAAGCTAGTGGAGGATGCACTTAATGGATCAGCTATATTGCTAGACACTTGTGACACTGCAAGGAATATAGTGTTGACAACGAAAGAACATGTGCAGAGGCTGCAATCCGCTTTGCGTAGAAGGGCGAGGCAAGATTACTCAAGCGACGTAAATGCTTATATTAGTTTCAGAAAGAAAGCGAAAAGGGAGATTGTTAAAACCCTTGGAGCTTTAAAGAAAATGGAGAGCAAAGGCTATCTCTGTCCTCTCGTGGATGCAGATGATGATCAAATGATAGTGATCAAAATTTTAAGAGAAGCAACAGCCATTACCGTCTCCATTTTCAGGTCTCTTTTGGTATTCTTGCAGTATTCGACAAAGACAAAGCCATTAATGATCTCAAAGTTGATTCCTTTGAGACCATCATCATCTGAGATCATAATCAATGAGGTGGAGAGAGTGGATTTCGCTCTCTGCAAGAATGCCACATGGACCCAAGTTGAAACGATTCACGACATGCTACACACTCTTTCGTCTCGCGTTCATGGACTAGAGGCCGGATTAGATTTCGTGTTTAAGTCTCTTGTTCAAAATAGAGTTTCTTTCCTTAACATCCTCACTAGTTTCTAGCTTCATTTGGCTTAGCATCCACATTTTAAGGATCTGCTAGCAATTGTTCCAAACAATTCTTTTAAGAATGTTAACGTTATATACTGATAAGGTATTTAATACAAGTGAATCTCAAAATTTGTGGAGTACAAATTTGATCCATTTTATTATAATTGTTAATCAAACTATATCATATGATTATAATATCGAAAAGAAAAAAAAAATTTAAAATCTATCTCAGTAAATCATTCTGCAAATATTTATTTCTATATAATTTAATAAATTTTAAATGTCAATTAGTCACTAGATTTTGGCCAACTTTTCATATAGTTCCAAATAAATTTTTTTGTTACAAATTAGTTCTCAATTTCGTTTTCAAATTTTCTCTTGTTTCAAAAATTAAGAATGGTTTTGAAGATTCTACGTGCTGAAAATTTTCATGTCACTGTTAATTAAGCAATTGTGAGTATTTCAGTGGAAACCGACGTGTCAGCTGGAGACGAAGCTGACAAGGACTTATACCATTAAGTTGAATTGCCGTTCACTCCATCTTCCAGCTCCAATGCTCTCGTTAATCGACAAGATATTTGGTATCAGCAAAATTCATGCTTTAAACGAGAGGATTGACCCAGTTTGCCAGAGTGTATTTGGAATAATAATATATATCAAGGCAGTAGGATTCATGAATTATGCATAGGAAGGAAATTGTGTATCTCATTTTGATTCTGCAATCAACCAAATCATGTAGCAAGGTGAAGGGACATGCCACTCGTGCATCCATGAATAAATCTTGTTCAAAAATAATTGAAGTAAATAATTTATGGTTGCAGATCTCCATGTGTTTTTCTTTAATGGCGGCCACCAACTTCCAAGCACCGTCGGGAAACATATAAACAGTCGGCCAGAGCCGAAGGGCCATGGGCGGTGGTGCACGACTCACGTAATAAATATTCTACTCTTTCTTTTTTATTTGTCATGAAAATAAAACAAAATCCAATCTTGGGTACAAAACAAAATATTAAATTAATTTTTTTATATTATTTTAAAAAAGAAATAAAGAACCCAGTTACATGTTTTTTGAATCAAAACTAATAAATAAATAAATAAAATTATTAATTTGTTGGTGTGTGAACCAAGAATCTTTGGTTATAGTGGTTTCCATTCCCCATGAGATAAAGATCATGGGTTCAATCTTTTGGGAGAAGCCCTTTAATTTAAAAGAAAAATGGAAAATTGGTGTGTGTGTGTGTATATATATATATGCGTGCACGAGCACAACCCATTAGCTTCTCTTCAAAAATGGAAAGAGAGAAAATGACTGCTACTTTCTCATCTCCCAAACAGTATAATGTTCGATCCGTTAGCTTCCCGTCTAGATCACATCCAAACACTAACAAGATTGAAGAAGAGCTCAACAAGCTTACGTCTTTAGATTTATCTTCTTCATCAATTCCCGCCCCTGAAACAATCTTTGCCGCTCTCTCCGGTCTCACAAACTTGTACAAACACGTCTCTGATCTTTTCAACTTGCCTGCAAATCAACAAGCTCTAGCTCACCACCCTCAGCACAAGACATTAATGGTGAGTGAACTCTTAGATGGGTCTGTAACATTCTTAGATATCTGTGGCAAAACCAGAGACATTCTTTTGCTGATCAAACAAAGTGCTCGTGAACTCCAATCAGCTCTTCGGCGCAAAAAGGGTGGAGATTGGAGCATCGACTGCTACATCGGTGCTTATGTTTCTTCAAGGAAGAAGACGAAGAAGGAGATTACCAAGTCTCTCGCATCACTTAAACAAATGGAGAACATAACTCCTCTGATATTAGATCTAAACGATCACCTTTCTGCCATTGTTAAAGTGGTTAGAGAAGCGAGTTTGGTGACTCGTTCGATCTTTCGCTCTCTCCTGTTGTTCTTGTCGGTGCCAGCATCTAAGCCGAAGTCGGCGACGAGGTGGTCCTTGATTTTGAAGCTCGTGAGCAAAAGGGTGGGTGCAGGGAATGAAACCCATCAGCCGGAGGTGGTAATCAAGAAAAATGAGCTGGAGAGTGTAGGTGTCGAGATCAGGAAATTATTGATGGCGAAAGATGTAAGCGAAGAAGATGATGATGATGATGATGAAGCAGAGAAGATTCGATCGACACTACTTACCAGATTAGAGGGCGTAGATATTATGATTGAAGATTTTGAGAAGAGAGTAGAGTGGTTGTTCAGGCGAACGATCGAGGCCAGAGTCTCTCTTTTGAACAGTCTTTCTACCTAGATTGGAATTCGGATTTTATAGGATCTGCAAAATGTTCTTCTTTAATTGGAAATATATAAATGTTGCTATATACATATATGGATGGATATACATATGTACGTGAATCCAAACGTATAGTGAACTTTGAGGCTTCTAGCCTCAGCTTGTATTGTATAGCTTAATGCCACAAGCTACTCCTTTGTGATCCATTAGAATTTTACTTTAATAACGCTTTTTATTTTTATTCTCTTGACATGTAAAAATAATTATTCAGACAAGCACCTTCATAAATATTAAATAGTAAAATATAACTTTTAAATAAAGCCAGATGCATATATTAAAAAATATATATTATTATATATTTTTTATTAATAAGTGAATCAACTATATAAACAATTATAAGTTCAAGTTGAATTTATTTTTATATATTTTTATTTAAAAATTATATTTTGAGAAATGAAATTTTGAATTCAGTAAAATAATCCAAATAAGTAAATAATTTCAAATGCTTTAATCCAATTTAGCACAAATTTTTATATATAAAGTTAATGATTATTATTTTCAACGAACTTATATTGTTCAAAAATTATGATTTTAATTTAAAATAATTTTAGAATATAGTTTAACGGTAAAAGTAATTGATAGATTAAAATGATAATTTTTTAATGCAATGTAATGGTTCGCTTTAAATAGAAGAATTGCATGTGATTTAAGATATATACTCTTACCAATTAACTTATGTTTCTTATTTTGTTTGCAATAACTTAATTATTTTTATAGGACTTATTTAAATTGTATAAATATAATTAAAATCGTAATATTTTTTAAAAAAAATGGTATTTTAGTGTTTTAGGTCTGAATTTCTATTAAAAATTTCTAATTGAAATTTAAATTTGTTGTAAAGATAATCCAAATATATATATAAATAAATTGTAAGCAAAATAGAAATATATATATATATATATATATATATACATAACGGCTATTTTTGACTTTTTCAAAACTTTAATATGCTGCTGAGCTGAGCATGTAGTGCGTGGGTCCTTAAACAACCGACCGTTACCTTCCATCCGCGCTCTCTGCTTGTTCTTTTACGCACCCCGGAGCCATGACCGTGGCAAGCGCGGCCACAGCCAAAACCAAGAAGCTAATGAAGTTCAGCCTCTCCCTTTTCCGTCGAGGTTTCAACCCCTCCAAATGGTAATCTTCTCTATCAATCCAAACTTTTTGTTATTGGCTTCACTTTTCTTTTTCCTTCTGTTTTCTCGGGAACCAAACATCACAAAAACCTTGTGTTTTCTTTTTCCTTTTTTTTTTTTTTTGTATAGTTTGCCTTGATTTGGTGTTAATGGTATTTACATATTATATTTTTTTCGAATAAAAAAAAAAAAAGCAAAACGGCGGCGAAGATGGCGGTTGCTCGGATAAAGCTGCTAAGGAACAAAAGGCAGGCGGTGGTGAAGCAAATGAGGCGTGATATCGCTTCGCTTCTGCAGTCTGGTCAGGATTCCACTGCTCGCATCAGGGTATCTCTGTTCTCTCTCTGTCTGTCTCTGTCTCTTTTTTCAAATCTAATGAAAGTAAATTGCGTACCTCATTTGGAGTTCGATACAAACTTTTCTTGGAATTTTTATACATGCTGAATTTATTACGGGAAAATTATTTTGAGTTATCAAAATTGATATGACGGAAATAAGGTTTGACGACATTGTAGATTGAACACGTGATAAGAGAAGAGAACATTTTGGCTGCAAACGAGTTAATCGAGCTGTTTTGTGAACTAATTGTGGCCAGGCTTACCATAATTACCAAGCAGAGGTAAAAGAATGAACACCACAAGTTATATATACCTGCAGAAATGCGTTTCTTCTTACACTCCAACTTATTTCAGGGAATGCCCGGCAGATCTTAAAGAAGGGATTGCAAGTGTGATTTTTGCTGCACCAAGGTGCTCTGAAATTCCAGAACTAGCAGCACTTCGAGATGTTTTTCAAAACAAATATGGAGCGGACTTTGTCTCTGCTGCTACTGATCTGCGACCAAACTGTGGTGTGAATCGGATGGTAACCTTACTACGTATTTAAAACCATTGTTTTATTTATTTCTGGGATCATTGGTTTCTTTCAAACAATTGATTAGTAACATCAAGTACAAATTCAATGGTATCCTCTCCGGTTCCTAACACTGCGGTTTTGGTACAGTTGATTGATAAGCTCTCAGTCAGAACCCCAACCGGTGAAGTGAAGTTGAAAGTTATGAAAGAAATAGCCCAAGAACACAAGATTGATTGGGATATTACTGAATCGGAGAAGGAGCTTCTCAAACCTCCAGAAGAGCCAATAGTGTGTCATCTCTATCAAATGTACATATATTTACCTTTAAACCCCTTGTAAAACTAACACTAGCTTTCTCTCCATGCCTAGGAAGGACTGCGTACTTTCGTTAGCGCTTCCAGCTTACCAATTGAGCCAAAACAACCGACAAGGTAATTGACTTGAGATCTCGTTTCTCTGTATGCTTTCCAGTTGTTTGTAATGTAATTAATTCTGTTCTATCTACAGATCAATCAACAGCCAAGAAGGCGTCAAAATGGATTTTGAAGACACTGCATCAGCTGCTGAAGCAGCTGCAGAATCAGCCAAGCAAGCAATTGCTGCTGCCCAAGCTGCCGCATATCTGGCTACCAAAGCTTCTGGTTTTGATAAAAACTCAGTGAATTCCCAGTTTAAGAATCATCCGGGAAGGGTGCGTGAAACCAAGAGTTTCAGAACTACTACCCATGCAGAAGTGGGAAAAGTGTGTAGGAGGCACAGCTACAACGGCAACTCAGATATTAAGTTTGATGAATCTGATTGTGATGAAGAATCTGAAATGGAAGAACAAGTATTTGCACCTTCATTCGATGATGAAGAAGACCAAGTTCCTCATCACATTTCTGCTCCTCGTCCACCTCCAATACTTCCGGACACTCCAGGCCATTATTATGTTCATCCCAAGCTTCCGGATTATGATGCCTTAGCTGCTCGGTTTGAAGCTCTCAGATACCACAAACAGTGAAATTGCATCCCATTGCTTCATCAATCTTCAATGGTGTTCTCAAACATACCTTGCATTCCTTTTTGCTCCCTCGGATTGTCAGGAACCACATCACAATATAAACATTTACATGAAAGAACCCTTATCCAATAATAAGACTAATAGTTATTATATAATACTTTCTTGTTATGGGAATTAAAATGATATTGAATGATTTTTTACTTCTTTTAAACATTATTGTTATTATCATCACTACTAATAAAAATATTCACCCTTATGTTAGAGTTTTTTTTACTTTGCAGTTTTTATTTCTCAAATTCGTAGGCATTGTATGAAATATAAATAACAGTTAAAATTCAGACCATTGTTACAAAATAAACAGTAAAAGATGACATTAGTTTTCAAGGTAAAAATCAGACCATTTTGTTGAATTCTACAAAAAATGTATATCATGAATGAATAATAGATTGTAAAAAATAATAATAATTTAAAAATATTTTTCATTTGACAAATAAAGCTTAGAAAATTTGTTAATGATAATCATTGATGGATAGAGTTGTTAAAGACGCAAATCAATTAAGAGTCATAGACCCAAAAAAAGTAC